AAAACGACGCCGTATCCCATGGTGTCGAATAACGAGATCTGAGACTCCTCTCAATTGCCAATGCGTCTTTGCCTCCTGGCGTGAGCACAGTATATATATCGTCTTGAAATCGATAGCAGTGATTTTTTTAAGTCTGTCCGAAAGGCGGTTCGAGACCGATTGGTATTTACGAATGCAATCGTCGCACATCGAAACGCGTTGGTCGAAAGATTGCTAAGACGATCGACAAACTTACAGAGAAATCTATAAAGATTGTGAAAATATCCGATAGTAATTGACAGAATTACTGTACAGAATCGTATTATGTAAACAATTCAGTTACATTTCCGGTTTTATGGTCTGTAGACTTTAATAGCCAATATACCGTTGGGATAAAACGGCTCTCCATCGGGATGGAATTTCGAAAATAACGTTAATCCATCGTAATATTCCATGTCTCTGTTCCAATATTTTTTTAACCTAATGTTCAAACAAATTACTGTATCGTTTACCGATTAATTAATCAATATCACATATTTTTTATTTTAACAGATTAAAATGCATGCTTGTTTGTGATATCGTCCCATTAACTTCGTTCATCAGCTTAATTGTTTACTCGCTGGTAACTAATCATGTGTAAAGTTGGTTGTAACATAATTTATTCAACCTGTTATTTAGTCTGGTATTTAGGCCGCTTGCTTCCAAACGGCTTTAATTCCGCTAACGACTTATCAATTTACCAATAATTACTATCATCCAAAGTGTTTCGAATCAAATTAATTTATCTTTAATAAATTAATTTATAATATATTTACAATATATACATATATATATATATATTAGACTTCAATAAATATAAACTTTTCCATGATAAGCAAATAACAAAACTTATTATTATGTGAACCTATATAGCATAGATTATGTCAGCAACAGTTTAACAATATTACAGTATTCCAGTAATATTACAATAACATTACAAGCGTTGCAGTAATATTATTGCACGTTTCTGTGCTGTATGGAAAACATATAGTTTATCTTTCGCGTCTAAATATCATCTATACCAATCTAGGCCGGGCTTCACTAGTCTGGCTTCATATCGCACGGTCTTTCTCATAATTTTGGTAATCGGCAATTGGTTTAAACAGAGCTCCATAAAGTGCGCGTTCGATAATTCGGTACTCGATCCGGATTTGAAGGGCTATTCGAAACAGGAATCTTCCTATAATCAAAATCTGGTAACGAGAATCGATCGCATTGCATTGTTCCGCGATCTGCAATGATAACACAATTCGCAATAGCACGAGACTGCTGGAAGTGATCTCAATTAACTCTAATTGCAAACAGAGCGTTATTAGTATCTTACTTGGTATGCCGTCGCATACCAATCAAAAACTTCGTTTTCGAACTATGACATGATATAACGATCTTTTTTTCATAATCTGTTGTATTTTAGGAGATTTCGCGTTGGCTGCCCGTTTTCTCGCCTCCCCCAAGATCGTTTTCACCATTGGTTGACGCACTTTTGCGCTTTCCGTCGTAGGAAGTTTTCCTTCTTCATTAAGGGCGGAGTGTCCCTCTTCTGCGTCACCAGCCAACGCGGTTCTCTTTACTTCCTGGCCCCTTACTCTTACTTAGAAAGGCCGTATCTGCGTCTCATCCTTATCTCCCTCTTCTTCCTTTCTATCTCCATGAGCAACCAAGTTTTCCTCGTTTCCGTGTCGATCGAAGCGATCATGCTCATCCGGCTCAAGTCTTTTGGCCGGTTTCCTCGATATCTTTATCGTAACGCTCTTCTCTTCGACTCGATCCAATCGGTCGATCTTTCCTGCACCGTTATCCGGCAATCGCGTCTCGCGTTCTTCTCCGCGACGCTGTTGATAAGGATTCTTTCCAGGATTTCTGTGCACTTTTCTCCTTCTCCCTCATCCTCCCCCGTCAACGCGTTCTCCGTATCTCTGCTTCTTCTTTTTTCATCCGATCGACGATCTGTTAGTTTCTTCTTGCACATCACGTTGAGCCGAGCGGCGATCTTGCTGGTTCTTATCTTCGACCTCGCCGACTTCGTGCTGATGCGGATTATTGTCACGTTTCTCGCGTATTCTTTCTACCACCTTGTCGGTATTTCTTGTACCACCGTCACTACGTGCTCCACCTGCCGACCACCTTTCTGTTTTTCCGCGCCGAAGTGAACGACTGCTTCCGATAGATCTTCAGAGATGATTCCGTCAAGCGTATAGTTTCGATGTTCGATCTGATCGGGCGTTCGATTCTTTTCGAATCAACTTCTCTTAAAGTGTCTGGGACGTTACGTTAACACTTATCGTATGCTTTTATCGAAATATTCGGGTTTATCTTCACTAATCTAAGTGCCAATGTCATTTTTACGATTCTTGAAAATTATGCGTGTTATCTTACTATATGTAATTAAACATAGCTCTGTGTTGCTGCAACTGTAAAGTTCTTTTTTTGCAGAGCACTCTTTACTGAAATAATAAACTTCGCATCGATGGAAATGTCAGAATTTAACTTTAATGTATATCCTGCGAAAAAATATTAAATATAATAAATTACAATCGCGAAATAAATATAACACGCGTATGTTTAATGGAAAATGACGTATAATAAAAACCAATTTCTTCAATAGTCAATCGAGGTATTTTTTTGTCACAACAATATTTTTTCTAAAATAAATTGTAATGAAATGAATATCATTATTGCTTCTGAGAAGAATATGCAAAACTATTAAATCTTTTTCGTTAGGGTATTATGTTAATAACTCGTATTTTATACCACGTATTGCCGAGTTTCATCGTTGATAATGCTGTCGCAGAATTTGCAGATTTTTAAATGGAATCGTGTTTCACATGGTCTTTCTCCCCCTATTCGCGAATAAAATTACTCACGAGATTTAGGAGAGTCTTTGTCTGAATATGCGACGGCGGTTCTGCAATATTACAAGATATTTTATGCAATGCGAAAAGCATCGTGCGAAAAATGCTATTTCTCGTGAATTAGCGGGCATATAGCAATAAAAATAAAGAGATAGTTGCTTGCGTATAAATCGCAGTGTTTATATAATTTATGAGGTAGCGAAATAATTCTATCTACCGTAATATTGTATTTGCAAGATTTATTCAGCATATAAAATTGGTACTTGCTTAATTATTAAAATCTGCAACATAATTTACGAGACAGATGTTTATGTTATATTTATGGTCCATTGCAAATAACTTTTATACAAGTAAATGATAATTTATAAGGATTTAATCTCGTTTTTAGTAGGAACATATGCTTAAAACTTTTTAAATTCTAATATTGCTAATAAAGAGAGAATAATATTTACTGCAATATTTTAATTAAAAAAAACTTTTTCTTTCGTCATAGATTTAAATTGAATAGAAATAATTAAACAAAAAGTTAAATTACTTTTTCTAACTTTAAAAATTCGTTTCCGAAAAAAAATTAATAAATAAATGAAAAAGTTTCATTGTAACGTACAGCCTTGCGGTTAAAAATTGTAAAATCGATGAGTAAAAACAAAGACACTAAAACTAAGTTACGATCCATTTTATGTTAATAATTATTCGCTTCGTACAGATGCGGATTAAAAAAAATATTTAAAAGAAATTAGAATCCAAAAGTCTGTACGATTTAATTAAAAAGTACAAAGATTTACGAAGGAACATAAAGTTATGTGATCGCTAAATACAAATCTTTTTTCGCAATTAGCCGCATCTTCAATTGATCATATAAATTATACGCGATATAAAACAAATCTGAAAATTGATTTCGAGTTTTGTGGTTGAAGAAAAAAAATACAAAGTACTCTAATACTAATTTCTTTATCTACATTGTTTTTTTTTAATCTACGGGAAAGATGGTCAAGAAAAGAAACGCTATAGATTTATATAAATAAAAATGATCATGTAATTAAAATAATTCTCAAACAATTAATTGTAACGAATGTTTTGTGGATACATTTTTCGCGCTAGTATAATAACATGTACAACACATTTCGCGCATTGTATGTGTGATGTTATATGTTTCACGTGTCGTGTATATGTCTGTATGTATAAATGTATTTGTGTGTGTGTTTGTATGTGTGTGTGTGTGTATGTGTGTGTGTGTGTGTGTGCTTAAAACACATACGTAAAACATATTCCCAAATTCCGGGAATATTCCTCGACGGATACCTTAAGTACTAAGCGAAGTAAAGTAACGAAAGGATAATGTCGTAAAATTTTGATCAATAAATTAAGTTAGATCGATCAGAGTGTAGAGTTAGACAAAGGATAGAAAGAGAGATAATAAATAGAGTTTTCTCATTGTTTCTTAAGCAGCTTAGCGAGCGATTCCTCATTCGGGGAGCGACGATCCTTTGCTCTAAATTAAACTTTCAGAGGACAAGCGTTGTATTTCGATAACTCTGTAGCCCAATTTCGGGACAAACATGTTTACCGGGAGCGCTCGGTGAACTGCTTGAGATTTAAGAACGCGAAATAACGGTACCACCGAGCACCGCCGCCGACGTCGGCGTATGACGTCGAGCGTCGCGACGCGAACTTGCGCGCGGTTCTCCGCGGAAGTCGCCAGCACGGGGCACGACGAAAAACGCGATGAGGTACAACATAGGCGATAAGAAGAAACACTCGTTAAAGTATACGATGCGTGTATAAATAATAGCGTGTACACACGGCGATCGGAGAGACGCGAGACCTGAAAGCGGATCCTGAAGGGCCGTCTGACTATCTGCGCGGCTTATTTACAATGCCCTCCTTAGAGACTACTCTGGCGATTGCGCGATCGATCTCTCGCTCCCTGATACCGAGCTGCCGTCGGGCAGACCGTCGGGTAATCGTCGAGACGTGGAAATTACGTTGATTGCTACGCAGTGACGCCGCGGTGATCACGAAGCGATATCCATCGGTATTCATGTGACGCGCGCTCCATCGATCGCGATGATTGGTAGAAAAGCTGATTCCGACCGCGGACGATCGGTGGAACACGCGTAAGTGGCTCCTCTTTCCCGTTTACCTTCCTCTCCTCTTCATTCCGCTATTTCCTCCTCACATCGCTCGTGCTTCCGGGCCTCTTATTTACATGCTCTACTCGAAGATCCCCCTCGTTCTTCCTCGTTCAATCGAATTCATGCTCTCTCAATACCGATTTAGTTATTGTCTCCCTCGATTCGACGAGCGCGGATTGACGCGACTAGATTTAGACGCGAAGCTACCCGGATGAAAAAGGAGAAAGAGAGGAGAGAAACGCGGTTGCTACTTTCGACGAGGAGAATCTCCGACGTTTGGTCACGTGTCTTGAGTTTCGTTTCGGATGAAATAGCCAGTCCCGAAGCATTGCCCGTCGTCGAGGTCGACGATCCTCCGGAGGGGGATCTCTTCTTTCTCTTCTGCGGCAAGTTTTTTTTTTGATTTTGCGCACCGTATATGCCTCTTCAGTTGGCGACTTTTACAAACTCCGGGTTCGGCATACTGCAATTCTCAGTCGCGTACACTGGATGAACGAAGCTATTTCCGCCTATCGCAGCGTTTTTGCGATCCACGGCGCGCACCCTGACGAAAAGAAAGGCTGCGACGAGAGAAGCCACCACAACGACCAGCAGCAGCATCACCAGACCGCCCACGAAACCCGGCAAACTCATGCAGATCGTCTCTGGATCGGTGGACGCAGAGTTCTGTATAACCACAGTGGTGTCATTGCTGGAGTTCGTTGTGCCCAGTGCAAAGTTGACGTCGCCTGGCGCGACCACCTGGATGACCCTCGAAGTGTTCACGTCTGTCATCTCCTGTGCTGCTCGTTTGTATACGTGGGTGGAGAATAGGGTCACCGTGTGATAGATATTCTGAAAATCGAGGGTAACCGTTGTAACATCGGAGAATTCGCGTCGTAGTAGGATATCGAACGGTATCGTAGAACGCGACATTGATAATGTATTTGCTAGCTACGTTGCATAAATTGAGAAAGAAAGATGACAGTTCTCGCGTTGGCAAATGTCTCTTATCTTGCAAAGATATTGTATATATGTATATATTTTTAAAGCATCTCTCAAATTTATGATAAGTCAATAAGTGTAAGATGGTCTAAATTACAGACCGAAACGTTCGACTGGTAATCTTCAAGTTAATTGCAAGATTAATAAAAATTTTTTTGCATTGTTAACAGCGTTCGACTCTTTATAGCCTCTTATTTATGATTGTTAATTTGTTTTGAACAAAAAGAGTCTATAACTAGGTTACATATTATTATTAAGATTTCTCTCAATAAGTGTAACTTTTTAATTTTATCCTTAACTTTATCAAAGTGACAAAAATTAAAGTTATTTATTGACTACATCACGTAAATCCTATTTTTAAAGTTCTTCACGTCCTTGAATCGTTTTTATTATTACATATTACATTAGTATAGAAAATAGAGATTAGAATACTTACACTATCATCATCTTCATGCGGTTCATCATGCCTTCGCCTCCTGGCGCCTCTGAGCTCAGCCGGAAAACCTTCAACCGACCTTGGCCGACCTCCAAGGACGACTAGGTTACCTTCAAGCTCGTCTGTGCCAGCGGTTCCTTTTCGCTTTACCGTTTGATACGCCGCTGAATGACCGGGCAGAGGAGGCGGAGGGAGGTGAATATTATCCTGAGGACTTTGGGGTGAGCTGCTCGCTGTAGCGTCACCCGGCGTCGAGCTGGGTGAAGAGGACGAGGTCTGTGCTTGCGGTGCTGGAACGACGTCCGGATTCGGCTCACTACGAACAAAAATTAATTTATATTTTGTATTTTACAACAGTTCATAGTCCTATTATTTCTTTTAATAAATATATTCTTTGAATCAATACTCTCGTATAAGACAAAAGATATTTAGTGAGAGGGGAAACGATTCGTATGCTTTTTAACGAACATATTATTCCCGGTATTTTTACAGAAAGTATTCAGAAAATATCTCAATAAAAGATGGAAGTTGTGAAGAAATTTCTGAGAATATTTTGAATTATATATATCTTCAAATAAAATAAGATATCCTCTTTAGAGAGAAATATTGTAATTTCCTTCAAGAAAGATTTTAATAGATTCAACGGATTTTCTTTTGCGCGAAATTTTAATGAACGCTTCATAGAAAAGCTTTCTTCAATAACTACACATTAATGCTCGTCCGTTTTCTCACCTGTACGCTCCGGCCGGTCCGCTGGGATGTCGCGGATCAGGATATGCCGGCGGTACGCCGTATTCGGGCACAGATGGGGCACCGTATTCCGCAGCAAGACCTTGCGAGACCGGTGCGCCATATTCGTGAGTAATGCCGCCGGCAGGTGCGCCGTACTCGAGACCAGGATGTCCACACTTGGGTTCGGGGCAATTGTATCGACAGACTTGAATTACGCACTGGAAGTGGACGTTCATGCTGTCGGGGAATTTGAAGGCCTGGAAATAGGCGAAGCTAACGACTGACGCACTCGGGCCGAAGTTCTTGATCTTCTGGAACCTGCGGAAGAAATGTGCAACTTTGTATTCTTCTGCCTTGAAGAACATATAAACAATCGCCAGATATAAAGTATCATCATAACATTAGGACTTACCTGGACATGATCTTCGGCCTGACCACGCAACCGTACTGATCGACCAGCTGAATCGGTGCTCTCTTGCCATCGTGAGCGACGCAATTTCTCACCAGCATGTCGAATTTGTTCTCGTCGTCTTTGATAGCCAGTACCATCGTCATGGTCTGACCGATTTTGACGATGCCGGACACCTCGCTGGCCCAAGGACCTTTACCGACTTGTATCTGCATCCAACACTGCAGGTTGTCGCCGAGGAAATTAGCAGTGACAGCGTGTAGCATGTCGACCTGGAACGGCCTGAAGGTGACCGCCTTCTCGTAGAAGTCATACCAAGTACAACGCAACTTCCTTGCCTGATCCCACACTTCCTGCACGTATGGATCGTACTGCACGATAATCGTATTCTCCACGTAGCTACCGGATGGCGTCGGTGCGCCATAAGCGGCCACGTTGTGATTCGCGGAGGAACTCATGCCGCACGAATTGAGGAAGATCTCGAAGGTTGCACTCAAGTGGCCGGTACCGGGCTTCAAGTGAACGCAGTGCGGATCCGAATAGAAGCCCTTGCTGAAGATCATACCGTAGAACGGCCGATCAAACTCAATGTTCACTCGCATGTGCGTCTTCTCGCATTGCACCTGCAGATGCTTAATTTGCGGAGTGTCGGGCGACGCCAGAGGCCAATTTTCCTCGTGAGCGATCGGTGGACCGTACTGAGCTGGAGCCCCATAGACAGACCTGTGTTCCAGAGGCAACGCACTACTGTCGACCAACGGTGCTTCACTTCGTACACCCTGTTACAATAGAAACAAGCAATATGTTTATAAACATAAATTATATTAGGTATAGATATAAGAAAAATTAAGTAAGTGTAAATATATAAAACTATTAGATATAAAAATTAAAATATGAAAGCGCGACGCGATTAATAATAAAACACGAACGCAATTGAAGAAACATTTATTTTCTAGACAAACTTTATATTGGGATACAAGCATGACTGCTTGAATGAAACTTTTTCAATTTGCGTATTAAGTACAGCGTAGCGTGAATGCAATGTGTCGAAACTTTGAAGACTCTTCGGTTGCATTGCACAAACAACAGGACGATGATTTACATCGTGCCCTTTTCGATACCTTGCACTGTACACGTTTCGAAACGTCCTGCAGTTCTTATAATGGAGATTCCATTAAAGTTTTAACTGAGTTGTGCAACACATGAACGTGACAAAAAAGCAATAATTCACCGTCTTTCTTCATCATCTTGAACTCCTTTCTTTCAATTCCCCGCAAATTACATACTTTTGCTGGATATATCTCGGTTTTTCTGAAATTTTAATAAATGACGCGAATGCACCTTCCTTTTTTTATGTACACCCTCTTGTCGTCAAACTTTTCATTCCGTTTATTTGTACAGCGAACGTTATGAAAGAAAAAAAAAAACGTTTTTAATAAAGCATCTAAAAATTTATAGTTATAGATGTATAAATAATTTTGTTGGACCATCAAATAATTATATAGAATATTTAAGTTGTTAGAAATATCGAAAATTTTTACTACATTGTTCATTATGCTTGAGCATAATTATTTTGATGGTACAAAAAAATTATTTCCTGACTTATATCTATAAATAGTATAAATTTTTTAATACTTTAGCAAAATTGCTCTTTCCGTATAGATATAGAAGCGTGAGGCAGTATTAAAAATTCCGCGAATGTCACCGATTGTCGCAATCTTTCACGTAATGCCAATCGAACACAATTTATAATTCTTGAAATTCTATAGAATCTCATGGAGGAATCTTCTTGAGAAAAGCGCTTCCGAATTCTATCTCCTTAAAGTTCACCGTATCGAAGTCGAGACGACGTTTGAGAAAAAAATAAACCTGTAACATTTTTCTTTTTCTTTTCTTTTATACGAACGATTTATTTCTTTGCAGGCTAAGCTAGTACGAGTAAAGATAAATTCTAACAAGCTTTTCAATTAATAAAAAGATAATTTTGTAGATTATATATTGAAAGAATTAATATTAATCGCGCACTGCGAATATTACAACATAAAATTGAGGTATTCTAAATTACAATAACTTGTCCTTTTCGTAATTATATGATTTAGCATATATTACTTAATAAGATCCAAGCTAATTTATATAAATTAAAAATAAATGAAAAGAAATTTGTAATTTATGGGTGAGTAAGTCGTAGTTTAGAATATCTTAATTTTGTTTTATAACATTCGCGATGCAATTAATGTTAATTCTCCTAATATATTCTACAAAATAATTTTTTTATCAAAAGTACGCTACAAAATGTTGATTTAGAACAATCAGAATATAACGTTTTCAAGGACCAAACATAAGAACTTACATATTAAATTTAAAGAGAACTTAAAATTATTCATGTTGAAAATAACTACATATAAAAATGACAGACTATTATAAATAAATTGGCAAAAATGTGACAGAAATTAACGAACATGTTGATTTAGTTTATTTCGCGTGGAAAATATGAATCGTTATCGACTTTGTGTTGCAAGTACCGTGTATGTTAATAATGCTTGAAAAATATGCTGACAAAAAAACGTGACTGAAAACGCGTGTACTGTTAGCCAAAGGAACATTCGTCGAGGGAAATCGAATACGGGCTCGCGGAAGGTAGGACGACGAGCCGGCCGACTCCCTCGGGCAATTTTGTATTCTGATTTGGCAGAATTGCAGGAGGATAATTACGCGAATCTGCGTACCGAGACCAATGTCTTCACTTCCGCCATGAGATCGTTCTAAATACAATTTTACTTGCAGCGCAGTGCATCTATCGTATCCTTCCATGCTTTCCCCAATTTGACACGCAACTCTAAACACATTGCTTTCGTCATTAATTTAATATCTATGTTAACATCGGGTACATCTTACATTTGATTCCGTGACGCGAATCTCGTACGAACGTGTGAATGATTGAGTAAACGTACAATTATTGTTTTTATTGTAATTACTATAATGTAGAAACAGCAATTCGTAAATTTGTAAACAAATCTCAGATACATTTGCGTGCTAACAAGATATCATGTTTCATTGTGTCACAATAAGAAAATAAAGAGTTACGCGAAAATTGCAGTACATTTAGAGATAACTGTATTAAAATTAGATCTCGTCATATAGCAATTGCAACAATTTCCATTATGAGGTAATTACGGAAACCAAATGTTCGCGTTTACTCATACGTGGTCATAAATTAGGTCGCATAAATCTTATAGCAGTGATATAGTCGTTAATTTCTAAACAGTGCGCCATTGGTATCTGTTATTAACATAAATTAATTGATTATTAATTTATATATACTAACAGTTATAACGTTAATTATGAAGTTATTAACATAAATTAATTAATAATAATAGTCAAATATCTTTCTTATAAAATTCTTATAAATCGCATAAACTGTCACAGTTTTTAATAATTTCTGAGATGGAAAATTACAGAACTTCTATATACAAGAGTATATTGCTCTGAGGCTTCTACTCTTAAGATCTGAAGGAATTGCTATTAAATTGTTTGAAGTGTTTAATTTCGAAATGGAAAAATTCAATTTTCCTCGTATCTTGATCTCTTACTTATCTCGATAATACCGTCATGAATTCCTGAAAAAAAAAAAAAAACCGAGGCAGTTACCGTATAGGTACTGCAATTTGAAGAACGTTGAAAGGGAGGGTAGTAAATAGAAAATATCGTGTTGTACATTAATCGTTGGACGATACCGTCACCGTGACAAACGGATGACAGTAGCGATTCACGATCACCACTTTACGCAGTTTGTAAACTGGGCAGGTCGACGCATACCTGTCCGCTTTCTTGTTCTACTTGCACCTGCGCCTGATCAGGTTCATGGACTTTCTGAATAGAAAAGTACGACGCGGAACCATTCGGTATAATCGAAATCACGATCCGCTACGATCGTATGAAGTTAAGTGAGCGCGATCTTCTCTTTCTGCCGGTCCGCCGAATTTCCAGCACGAACGTATCTTAATCGAGCATATGTTGGGGCGAGCTAATTAGTCCGTGAATATCTTCGTGAATAAAACGTCTACACTTGCTATCTCCAATAAATATAATGATTCTTATTGAAACTTTATTTAATTTTACTTTATTACGCTTTCTTGTGTCATTCTATTAATCTTCTCGAGTATATAAACAGATTACAAATACGATTACAGTTTTCAGGAATCATGAAATGCAATGTTCCTAATACCATATTTACCAACAAATAACTTCCATGAGGAATCATTAACCTTAATACTATAGACTCAATTATCATGGTAAACCATTAATCTTAAGGAGAAATATATCTTCAGTTGTTGACTTGTAAAGTTTATACTTAAAAATACCTGACCTACATATTTAAAATCAATGAATAGTATCATGGCAATTTAAAAATACACTCTAAAAAAAAAATCGATTTTCCTGAATCTTTTCCTGATATCTACAATTTTAAATCTACTACTATTTAAATCTACAAGTCTAAAATTATTTTTGTTGATCCTCAAAATTGATTATGTTTAGTGCTTAAGCTAATTGCTAGAATGTCTAAATTTTGTGCAGCATTGCTCAGTTGCTTGAATTTCTATAACATCATTTTGAAAATCCAACAAAATTACTTCCAGATTTGTATCTAAATTTTTAAATACTTCAACAATTTTTAATTATTCTTCTTTCTATGTATAAAAAGCGAGATAAAAGAAGCTACCTCTTATTTAAAAGTTATTTACTTAATTTTAAAAAATCTTAATAAATACAAAAAAAATTCCTAGTAGTCATTTTTATATTATACATAATTAAGAAAGTAAGAGAGAGAGATGAAAAGCGTAACTCAAATATTTCGCAAACTCCGAATTTGAATATTCCGATTTTATGTAGTTTCAGAGACATTCGAATTAATTTAAAAACTTATCTCCCTTTTTTTTTTTCTTAAACGAGATACGCCACGGTCGAAGAACATGTCGTTGTCACAGCAGAAGACGAGAAACTGATTTCACTTTCCTATTGTCATCCGCCAGACAAATTGTTCGCAATTGGACAACGTACTTTCACTGAATCACGTATGCAGAACGAGCATCTTAATTATCACGGATGTGACGCCTTGACGTTCGTCCATTCCGATTTCGGAAGTTCCGCTTTAATCACGTGCGTTTTGTACAATACTGCTATTGACTCTCCCGTTTAATAGATTGAATTACAGACAGTAGTCCGATATTGTGGTGTACTCTGTGACGGTATTTTTATCTCCTTTACATTGCATGCATAAAAGTACTGACTAACGTGAATTTTTGAGACGAAAATGTTAGATGCTTTTTATAAATTCGAACATTGATTTCATACTTTTCATTAATATATTATATATTAATGTATATATATTTGAAGATAATATTAAGAATGTATTGCACTCATTTTTACAAATGTGTTGTGTTAATATTTATATTTTAAACAAACTATATATCGATTATATTAAAAATGTAAATTTGTTTATTGTTTTTTAAATTTTAGTTTAGAACAATAAAAATAATAACAAACGAAATAAAGTATAAAAATGTTTAAAAAAAACGGAATGTTTCGAATACAATTTATACATATATTATATATAGAAATGCAAAACTTTCTTTGAAAGAAATACTAATCTTCTACAAAAGATGCGATCAATGCCACATGATGCAAAAGTACGATCAAGATGACTGTTACATCTGTTTGGAAGATATTTTAATTGTGGAAAAATAATTCATGGGCGGTATGTATATTCGCAAATTCGGACTTTCTCCCGTTTAGAAAGCATGGAATTTCTGCGGGTCCGGGTAGTGTGCTTTCGACACAGCCCGGTATCAAAAGTGAGATAACAAATTTTCACAGGGAGAAACTTCCAAGTTGTAACACGAGTGATGTCTCTTCGCCTGTATATGGTGGTGAAAAAGTAGGCCGGGTCAGTCAATGTGGACGGCGGTACCTACATGTCGCATACGTTTCGATAAGGCTATTATGCGGAACACTCGACGTCGGACATTGACGTGCAGCAATCGCAAAAAATTCAGCAACGTTGACTCATGTTCCGCAAAATGATATAATCGTGTTTTCATTCGATCACGTAACGATTTGTCAATTGCGCATTTATAAAACAAGGTCCAATTATACTCTAAGCATACATTAACAAATTCCCGTTATCTCTAACTTTTACAAATTTGAGTTACGAATAACCATGAGTTACAAATTACTGTCACACTATTAAATTAATAATTTAAACAAAGTTCTAATCATATCTAAGTCACTACTGCCCCTACTTAATATATCGTTAATTCAAGTAAAACAGCATAGTTAAATAATTTAATTCAAGAAAATGTCCTAAACTTGACTCAAATTCAGTTTGTTATTTATTTAGTCATTTAGTGCATACGTTGATATCACGTTGTTTTTTTAAATAACTTTAGAAAATTAGAAATGAATTAATTTATATTTTGACACACACGGAAGTTAAAAATAACGAAGTTATATTTATTTATAGGTATAATAGCACTACAGCACTTACATTAAATTTGAATCTTTCTCTCACTATACAATCGTTTTATCATCGAAGTATCATTCTTAAGCTTTAAAATAAAATATAATAGGTATCAGTGCTACGAATCTAACCTCAAAAAATAGTAATGAAAACTATGTCATACAAAAAACAATATTTGAGATACTGCCTCCTCTTCGGGTTCCAACTGAAAAAAGAATATCGCGGAAGCTCAAGAAATGATCGGTTCGACTTTAGGCGAAAATTCTGTGTCGTACAGTTATGTAAAAAGTGGTTCCAAAGATTTCGTGATGGCTTTCATCATAGAATTCGACTCAAAACATCATATTTTTTTCCAGAATCCGACAGTTGCTTGAAAGACAGCAAAAATATAGGAAAAGTAAAGGGCATTACTTCGATTATATATATATTAGTTAATATTTGTTTTTTTTATAATTTTACATCAAAACTTGGTAAAAAGGGTTGAGAATTAAGTTGTAGACCTATATAAGTGATTGAGTACTATTGTTTTTACCCTGTTAAATCTATATAGTGTCAAATTTAACTTTATTTAAGTTGTCACTGCTCCTATTTAATATCGTTATTTTATATTAAAATAATGATTTAACATATTGTATGGTGTCAAGTTAAATTCGACACTTATAGTCAAATTTAATCATTCTTCTAGTATAAAATAAAATATGGAGTAAAAGATAGTGACGGTTTAAATTAAGTTAAATTTGACATTACGAATTTAACAGTGTGACAGTGTAAAAATTGAGTGTTAATAAATAATCGTATGATATATATTTGTAGCAGTGGTATGTATTGATAATATAAAAATGGAGCAACAACACGCGCGCACGCGTGCCAGTAACTCAGAGAGTAATAGAAGGTATTAAAATATTATATGGAGCGTTTATCTTTATCCAAGTAAAATAGAAGACATTGATCGTTCTAGTTCAAAAGGTGCTAATATTATCAGTATTAACATTTACAACTCTGCAGTCTATAAATTATTTCTATGAATTATTCCTCATATTTTATATTGAGAGAATTTACTTTTAATAAAGAAAATCTTGCCGAAAATAAAAGAAATTAGCACTCGGAACGAAAATAAGGACATTTCGGAATTGAAAACAGTAACATGTGTTGCGGCTTTATGCTTTATCCATTTTTACGGTAACGGTGCTTTACAGAAACGAACGGTCTACATAGAGTGGAATAAATTCCATGCAACGCTCTCCGCAGATTTAACTTACAGATTAGCCACTTTAGGTAATCCTAAAACCTAAATTGTTAACGTTTTTTCGAGGTATCGCGAGCGCGGGAAGACGATGATGAATCGCGCGATCTAATTAAGAGCGGGCGATTAGTGCCACGGCAATACATGGCGTACAAAGCGCGCGTGCGAACCAGGCTGAGAACCGCGGCGGGCGTGCACTTTCGCGGAATAAAACTCGTCGGCCGGGATTTTAATTAAAGAGGAACACCGCTGTGCGCGCGCGCCGGTATGGCACTATGAAACGACGATGCATCAAGTGCGCGAAATGTCACAGTCGCGAATTCGGCGACGAGCAATCACGTAAATCCTTGTGCCAACTTTTATCCACGGTTAAGCCTCGCAACATTCATTCACGTGTCGATAACTCTCTTCGCATGATTAAAATTTTATTCCGTAGATACTGATTAAATTTAACCTGACACAACTGTATTACGGAAAGAATTATTTCTTAAAATTTACTCTGAAAATATAATATTTATGGTACACAATACAATATTTATATTTTATTGTAGTTTTATTAATGAATGTGAGAATGTTACATAAAAAAACCTTCGAAATATAATGTTATCCACGATTACCATATTTTCAGGGTAAATGTTAAGAAATAATTCTTACGGGATACTTAATATTGTACAATGTTGTAAAATGATAGATTGATCGTAGGAAATTTTTGTAAATCTTATAGCAAATACGTATCATAATTAAATAATTATGAATAATTTATTTATATAATTCTTCGCCGGCAATTGGAGTTTTTAAAGATATCATCGATATTAAGATTTAATATTTAACATTGTTTTTCACTGTAAATTTTAATAGACAAATTTAAATTAAAAAAATGCTGTCTCCGACTGTTATGCTGATACAAACTCGTAGTTAAAGCCTTAATAAGTATATCAAATTTTTTTTCTAATTTTTATGTAAACTGAAACAATAAAATGTTTGCTTCGTTTATGAAAGAGATCCCTATTGTTAGCGAAAATTCATATTACCGGCGAAGGGATAATACGCTAATGTTTATACACATCAACAATATATAAAAAATAATAATTCTTTCCTATATAAAGAAAGTGTACACATAATTCCTAAAATGCAATTTTCAAAGTGCAATTTTAGCGAATAATGTACGGTACAATACAAATGCGGCGTTCTTCATTTTTAATTCCAATTTTGTAATGTAATCTAATTAAAATTGCTGTGTTTATTGCTATTCTTTCGATGCCTTTATTGAGCCTCACATATAAAAAAATATTTTATATTAATATTTGTTAAATTCTCGAATCCATGTAATAAATTTGAGATGGAGCACTTTAATATGAAAGAGCTCTGCGTTATTACTGCGTTCATAAAAAGGCAAAGTGCTATGCAGAGGAAAGTAAGAATTAAAGAAAAATTAATTCCAGCAGACAAATTAGCGTGCAATTAAAATCTGTTCTCGAAAAAAAAAATTGTTTTAAGCATTACCATCGAAGTCTTTGATGTGCTGTCGTCT